AGAGAGAGAGAGAGAAGGAATGAAAGAAAGAAAAAGGCGAGTCGCGTTCGATCGGTTCGCGGCGTGGAAACTCGCGTGGAAACAAAGAATCGAAGCCACGCATCACGCAACCGGGAAGAGGGGCAAACGCTTTTTGTACGATTTTACGTCCATGTTAGTCGAACCGTTTTTCAAAACCGTTTTTTATATATACAGTACATAAGTATAATATGTATACACGCGCATGTACAGTAGAGACGACGAAACTTAATTTATTATCATTGTTCATTTATTTAACGGGGGACACCGTTCCATCCCCTATCTGCAATTATATGTATATTCGCTACCAAGTACTTTGTCGCAGTCGAAAATGTTGTTGCATTGACATTTAACGAGGATCGATGTAAAATGTATTGATTATTATTATTATTATTATTATTATTATTATTATTATTATTATTATTATTATTATTATTATTATTATTATTATTGCTGTTGTGCATCGCGGATCACACATGAAATGGAAAAAAAATGGGAGAGTTTGATTTCGCCTTTCGTTTTTCTTTTTTCTTTTTTTTTTTTCTTCCTTCCGAATTTTCGTTGGCCGGCCAACTAATACGCTGAGAAATACGATGGAAAATAACGATTACTCGCAAAGTTCTGGCAATGACGAAGAACGCGCAACGAACGAACGAGCGAAAGATCTCTTTCCCTTTTTTTTTAAGAAGCAAAAAAAAAAAAAAAAAAAAAGAAAAAAAAGAAAGAAAAGAAATAACGCGTATACGAATCGCGAGATTATTAATTTATTGTTGCGTTCGGGAGAGAGCGGAGGTGTCACGTTCCTCCCCTTCAATCTCGCTAATTTTAGCTGCGATTTAGCGATATAGGCAGAACAGAAGACAGTGAAAAAAAAAAAAAGTCATAGGCACTAGAGTACCTCGAAAGATAACAAGTAGCACTCTTGAAAGTTAGCTTGCACGGACGTTCTCCTTTTCCATCGCGCCGTCTTGCAATTAAAACGAGGAGGAGGAGGAGGTGGGGACGGAGGTGGAGGTGGAGAGGTGTGGATCGGGAGTGGAATCGGCGGATGAATAGGAAAGGGCGGAAGATCGATCGTATTCGAAGGGACGTGGCGGATGAGACGCGAGAGTCGGTGAATCGTGACGTGATCGTATAAAAGAGAGCGAAAATCGGCCCGATCGATGGGGAGAACACCAGCTCGCAGAACAGGGTAACTAGCTCTAACATCTATCTCTTACATCAACTTAAAAAAAAAAAAAAAGAAAAAAATTACCGAAAAAAAAAAATCTCTATCACACTCGTTCACCTTATGGTATCACAGGTTCACTCTAATCACAAATGTCGGCCAAGGCTAACTCGAAACACTATCACACCTTCGTACTAATAAACGATTTACTATTCAATTTCACATTATGCGTCTATGTGATTTTGTCCCATCCTTTTCTTTTTTTTTTCTTTTTCCTTTTGTCTCTAATTTCAACTATCTTTCTTTCTCGATTCCCGCCCATTTTAACATGGATCATTGGATATATAATCGTCGTTGTTGTACGAAAAATTGGGTCGAAATATCGGATGAACATTTAAAAAAAGAAACGAATGACGATAAACGCGACGACGAGTCGACAGAAATAAAAATGGGAATTATGTGTAAGTAATCTATAACAACATTGAATGATGGGGATAACTCGATCGTAAGTCCAATTTCGCGCGCATATTTTCCATTAAGCATGCATCGGTTAGCACGAATGTAAATTTCATTTGGAAATCATTTGTCACGGTATAAACTTTTCATCATTTCGAATGCATTTACCATACAAAATTCCACATCCGACCGAGAATCGCGCGACCGGAAATCCAATCGAAATTACATTGTTATCGGCTTCGAGATCGAGTTTCGATATCTCGTCGAATGCAGAAGCGAAAATTATACGTGAAAACTCCAGCTCTCTCGGTTTTTCAGCATAGAGAAACAAAAAAAAAAAAAAAAGAAAAAAAAAAGAAAGAAGAAAAAAAAAGAAAAGAAAAAAATCCATAGAAATCTAATTACGTATTTCTAGGACGCATTGGGATTGAACCGCCACTGATTATAATATGTTTTCCGTAACTTTCTCGTTCGTTTCGAAATTAAAAAAAAATTTCTTTTCCTTTTTTTTCTCCTTCTCTCTCCCTCTCTCTTTCTCTCTCTCTCTTTTCCTTTCCTTTATCATTCCTCTTCCATTGTCTCTCTCCCTCAAAAACGAGCAAACGACAGAAACACACGTGACGAGAATAAAAGTAATTAATTGCATCCTAATTCGTCGAGATGCACGTGATCGCGACATGTGAAACGTCGCAATTATAATTGTATCAATCTCTTTGTTTGCAGCAGCTTTTTGAAAAGAAAAAAAAAAAAAAAAAGAAAGAAAAAAATCAATTCCCAGTTGAATTCCCCCTCTCTTCTTTTTTGCAAAAAGAAAAAAAGAAAAAATCCGAGAAAAATCTTTACGAAGATCTCTTTCGATGAATAAAAGTGCTCGAGTGTCTCTAAAGGGGATGAATTCGTTGGAAATTTTCATTGGGATTCCTCGCCGTCAACTTTGAAGCAACGAAACATTATTAATTAAGGTAAGAGAGAAAGAAATTAATTATAAGCCCTTTAAGACAACGGATGACGGAAAATCTTCCAGGGGGAGGGAAGAAGGGAGGAAGTGGAGTTCGGAAAATGAACGAATCCAGGGAGGGGATGAAGGTGCGAGAAACGGGCAGCTGTATGCAAACAAGAACCGCATGACTGAGCAGTCGCGATGATCAATATTAATGAAAATCAGGCGCGACGCCGGGATGAATAGCTCGAGCTACTTGTGCATAAAATATCCCGGCCGTGTTGTCTTCTTTCAACGTCGGGATTAATCATAACTTCGCAATATTTCGGCTTAAATTAAATTTCGCCAACGACACCGTCTCCTTGTATCCTAAACTGGCCTTTAATTAAACAGGTTCTCCCAGTTCCTTGGAGAACGTTTCTATATAAATTAAACGCGATAAACTCTTCAGGTTTGATACAAACAGGCAATGGCAATTTCGTAATTTCTCTCTCTCTCTCTCTCTCTCCCTCGTTCTACCTCGGTTAAATTTTCTTCCCCTTGATACGATTTACCTCTGGGTCAATCCTCGCTATATCCTTCAACGGATATAAATAACGAAAGAATCCCAGAAACAATTCCATAAACCTGTTTTTCAACGGGGCGGAAATAATTTCTTTAATAAGAGGATATATATATATATATATAGGAAGATTGCTCGGGTAACAGATGTTGCAAGTAGTCGACGAGGAAAGAATCAAAAATAAAGGGGGAAAGGGACGGTGAGCGAGAAGATAGAGCGAGAAGATAAAGTTAGAAGGGAGGGAAAAATATTGCTATCGAGATAGGGAGGATGAAATTAAGAGGTCGCGATTCTTCGAGGGCAAAAAAAGAAGAAACTCGACGGAGGAAGATTTCAACGAAATCGCCTCTACTTTTCGGAGACCGGAAACTTCGAGTCGATGCCAATGTCAAGATGAACGAATTTTTCGAAAATGTAATGATACGTTTTCGAGAATGCATCTCCCTCTAGGGAAGAAAAGATTAGATGGTCGACCCGCAATTAACGCGCGCTGTGTATACGTATATTTCTCAGATGAATGCGCGCATCTCTGACCACGGTCGAGGGAGAGAGAGAGAGAGGGAGGGTAAAAAGCGGACCGAGATGGACTCGAGGGAGTAGCAAGAGCACCTAAAAAGGGGGAAAAGAGAAGCGAGCGGCGACGCTAATTGCGCAATGGACGAGTGGAGGCGACCCTTTAGAGAGGCTTTCTCGCGTTCTAAGGAGCGGTGGTGAAAAGGAAGTGACGACGCAGCCAGACGCTTACAGACCACCTTGCGGCCCACCGCGCTCCTTCTGCCAACGTTTCAAGTGGCGAAAAATAATGTAACCACCGGTGTAACGAAGCTTTTCTACCTTTCCTCGCGATAATCACTACTCGAGAGAGATCGCGTGGTTCGCGAGACGAGAACGACGCCACCTCCTCTGGAAGAAATTTCGATCCGTTCGCGGATTATTCTCGCACGAGAAATCGAAATCATAACGAGTTATATTTCGAGAAATACTCGAAATATGAAGAGGACCGCTTTAAAACGAATCCGCGGCGAATGTGTACCACGCGGCACAATCGGCGGCCGTTTATACAGGCAGATTTGGAGAGAAGAAGGGCATCAACAGGAGGGGAAAGTTGGATGAAACGCGGTGCAAACGCGGTTTAATCCCCGGATTTCGGGACGTTTTAAATTCCAATTATAGGAGCGGGAGGGTGGCTCGCGCGGAACCACGTCGCTCGTACGTGTAAATATGCGCTTCGATTGTCCGCTCGGTCAATAAAATGCTGTATTCGGGATATATGCGCTGGGGGAGAGAGCTGGGGAGAGGCGATGTCACGGCCGGGTAGGAGGCACCGCTAATAATTAAATGCCGGCCGGATTGGTCCGGCCGGAACGTTGTTTTAATCCTGTCATTACCCACAATGACGATAGTACCTACGCGGCGGTCATTCATTGAGGCGAGTCAATTACGGGAAAGCATTATCGAGTTTCGAAGGGTGTAAAACGGAAATAATGATATTTTGATCGCGACGCGGCCTCCTCCACGCTTTTCGATCGATGCGGTGTAAACCACTCCCCCTTTTGTCAAAGTGACGAAGAGAACAGAGAACGCGTGTGCAAACGGTCAAACGCGCCGCTGATTTATGCACAAGTATTCGCCCCGTAACTCGTCGATTCGGTGATCGAATCGATTGATCGATTCGACGCTCTCCCCGCGCGAAATAAAGAAATTCACACGGTTGGTGAAACGTTCGAGAAGCGGGGGGTTTTACATTATTTCGTTAAAATCGATAATCAATTTCCCCGACACTCCCCGTATTCCACGAAACAAACGTCCCTTTCAACACCAACGTTGACAGTTAACGTAAAAACTGAAAACACGATAATCCTATCGATCGCGAGTGAAACTATTTCAATGTGGGTGAGGATTTTCAATGTGTAAATTATCCCCATTATAATATTCCTCGTGTCTTTCATCACCGCCTATCCCTATTTACGATTGCGAGAAACGACTCGGCAAAGCGGACCGGATCCCTTCCTTTTTTATCGCGGATCGCGTGGCGGTGATAATTAATAATAGCGCGGTTGCCTACCGGTGGTCCGATCCGTATAGGATACATTGGCCATGATTTATGAGAGCGTAATGAAGCCTGTTCCCTGCAGGAGCCTCGAGAACGGGGAGGATATAAGCGGTCGAAGGCCCACACGAAGTAAGGATGCGAGGGAAAGGAGGAAGATGCTTGGGTGCAATAACGCGTGTCGGATTAAGGAGGGAGAACTCCATCTGGTAAAGATGTCCGACACTGTAAATCGTGCATCCACAATTACCTGCTCATTTCGCGCACCAAGAGCAGTTAATGACCGGCTAAAACATCATATTTCTAAGTCGTCCCTTCCACCTGCCGGTTTTTCTTCCATCTTCATCCCCGTATATCGTCCGTATTTTAAGTGATCGTGATCAATTGTGAACGTGTGTTGCGCCACAGAAATAAATTTAATAGAAATTAGATTTTATAAAAGTCGAGGGACGGACCGATTATCGAAATTTTGCAAACTTCTTTCTCTCGTTTCTATATAAAATTGAAAACGCGACGACACTCGAGGGAGAACTAGGGCGTACGAATGATTCGAAATTCGTTCCCTCTCAGGAAGAGAGTCGGAACAGTCGGAAGAAATTGGTCTGACGAAAATTTATGCAGGCTCGAATGGCCGGACACGACATCCACGAGGGAAGTGGATACGCCATGCGGCTTGTTTTATATTCCGCGGTTGGATATCACGCAGCCCCTTTTCTAGATGGCTTTTTCTTAAAAATTTACAGAACAACGTTGCCGCAATCGACGTCCCTCCTCTCTTCCGATAATACGAGACAGAGATGATGCGATGCGCAACGTCGAAAACGTCGTGAAACTTTCAACCTGTGGGACTTTCCTTCGGCTATAAATCAAGCGAGAACGTTAAAAAATTGACGAGACACGATGATTCCCAGTCTCGAGCAAAATCTAAACGCCCGTAACTCGCGTTGCTCGCGTTAAGTTTGTTCGCCAAGTTGTTGGGAAGAAAATTTACACCGTCAAAAATAAAACTCGCGCGATAGGCGTTCTTAAACCATCCGGTATGGAGGTGATAAAAAACTCGACTCTGGCCAAGTGTTCGCCAAACGAGTTTCGTTTCAAGCAGAAGAGAAAGAGAGAGAGAGAGAGAGAGAGAGAGAGAGAGAGAGAGAGAGAGAGAGAGAGAGAGAGAGAGAGAGAGAGTAGTAGTAGTAGTAGTA